TGTGTGTGTGTGTGTGTGTGTGTGTGTGTGTGCGCGCGCACGCGAAAGAACAATAGTGTGAGAGAGAGACAGACAGAGAGACAGACCGAGAGAGACAGAGAGAGAGAGGGGGAGAAAGGAAGATTATCTATACATGTACACGTGTACTTGTTTTACCACCTTACCCAAGAGAAACGTAGCTCTATTATTTTTAAAAAGTGCAATTGGGAGAAGAAAAACGAAAAAAAAGCCCAAAAAACGATCATAACAAAACAACCCCCCCCCCCCAAGTATTGTTACGGGTCTTTCAGCTGCGGACAAGCTGGTAGTTCATGTACTGTGCCAAGCCGCTGTGCTGTAGAGATCCCACCCGTCATTGCGACGTCAGCTGAACTTTTTTAAACAGGTCACTCCGTGACTGTATCCATCTCTTCTTTTAAAAAAACAAGGCCACAGCTACACGGTGTTAATGTTAACACTCAAAAGTCGAACAACGTATAACATAATTATCATAACACAATTTCTTATCAGGGTATAGTGCTTTCCTTTTGTGTTTGATACTTGTATCCGACACCGGTACTATACGCTGAGATTAATAAATTAAAGTACAATGAATGGTAATAATTTAACCCCCCAGATCTCTTTCCAAGCCTGAGAATGTGCTCTCTCTCTCTCTCTCTCTCTCTCTCTCTCTCTCTCTCTCTCTCTCTCTCCTGTTTCACTCCTCAACCTTCCTCCCCCCAAATCCTCTTCATCTCCCCTTTCTACTTATTTCCTCATTTGTCTGTTCTGTATGTCACTACTTCTATTTCAAATGGGGTTTTTTTAATATTGATATAGAACAGTGCTTTTCAGCCTGATTAAAGCTAGCGCTCAAATTAGCTACCATTAGAATTTAACGGCTAAAATGTCCGTACCGCCCATCTACATAATATATTTACAAGCTAGGCATTACAAGTAAACAACACCTGTCACTATTCACTACCCGGGTGATCCCCACCGCCCACCAAAATAACTAAATCGCCCACAAGTGGGACAATATCTCTAAGGCTTGCAAGCACTGATCTAGAGACCAAGGTCTGGCCTACAGTATTCCTTTTGGTTACCGAGCATACTTTTTACCTCAGCCGCAGCAGAGATTGAAACTTTAGATACGAGCATGCGTATCATTTTTCAGCTTCAGTTGTAGTCCTGCTACGTTATCTTGTAACTGGTTGAGCGAACTGCCATATTCAGGAAAGGGTCGACTAGATCTGTCCGAGGCAGTAAAATGCCCATAAGCATCTGTCGCACCCAAAGTCAGTCTCACCATCTGTGACCGGCATCCTTTAACATTTTGAATAATGCATGAAGCTAGATCTACAAATCATTCTAACTGACGACTATGGGGGAATCGGCTCTAAATTGTTAAAGGTCGGTGCTTGGCTCCGCATATTATAGAGCTGCCTTTGACGTTTATAAAGTTAAACAGTACCTTATCAAAAGACAAACAGACAAACAGACAAGAGACAGACATGTACAGACAGATGCCCCCC